GGGGAGTATAATAATCCTGTATTATATACTTGAAATTTGCTAAGAGAGTAGATTTTAAGCATTCTTACAACTGCTGTTACAAAAAAAGGGAACGGTGAAAGGTGATGAATGTGTTCATTAACCTGATTAATCATTTTACAATATATGTAAACTGAATTAGCACATTATACACTTTAAATATATACAGTGTTATTTGTCAATTAAAGTTCAGTAAAGCTGGGGGAGAAGTAATCTTTCTTGCTAATAGGTAATTTTTAATAATTGCAGTAGATTTTTTTAAAATTTTTTTTTTTATTTATTTATGATAGGCACACAGTGAGAGAGAGAGAGAGAGAGGCAGAGACACAGGCAGAGGGAGAAGCAGGCTCCATGCACCGGGAACCCGACGTGGGACTCGATCCCGGGTCTCCAGGATCGTGCCCTGGGCCAAAGGCAGGCGCCAAACCGCTGCGCCACCCAGGGATCCCCTAATAATTGCAGTAGATTTTAAAACTCTGGTTAAAAAGATAGATTGGGGCAGCCCGGGTGTCTCAGTGGTTAGCGCTGCCTTCAGCCCAGGGCATGATCCTGGAGACCCAGGATCGAGTCCCACGTCAGGCTCTCCCTGCATGGAGCCTCCTTCTCCCTCTGCCTGTGTCTCTGCCTCTCTCTCTGTGTTCTCATGAATAAGTAAATAAAATCTTAAAAACAAAAATAAATAAAAAATAAAAAGATAGATTGTGGGGGAGCCAGGCTGGCTCAGGAGGCTAGGCATCCAACTCTTGATTTGGGCTCAGATCATGATCTCAGGGTCATGAGATTGAGCCCTGAACCCAGTGTGGAATCTGCTTGAGATTCTGTCCTTCTCTCTCTGCTTCTTCCCCTGCATGGAAGGGTACCTTATCTCTCAAATAAATATATATAAATACATAAATCTTTACAAAAAAAAGATACATTGGATGTCTCTCTAAAATAAATTTTATCAATGTAATACAGAATGTCCAAAAAGCAAGAGACATAGGATAAGCCTATTTTTTTAAATTTTATTTATGATAGTCACACACACAGAGAGAGAGAGAGGCAGAGACACAGGCAGAGGGAGAAGTAGGCTCCATGCACCGGGAGCCCGATGTGGGATTCGATCCCGGGTCTCCAGGATCGCGCCCTGGGCCAAAGGCAGGCGCTAAACCGCTGCGCCACCCAGGGATCCCGGATAAACCTATTTTTAAGAAATATGTTAACATTTTCATATCATTAGTTCCATGTATTTATCTGCATCTCCAGATAGATTTCTAGATAAAGTACCTCTAAATTTATTGTTTCATTTTGTTGCTGTTGTTTCTTGTTTTTCTTGAAGTTTGATTTGCCAACATATACCATAACACCCAGTGCTCATCCCATCAAGTGCCCTCCTCAGTGCCTGTCCACAGTTACCCCAACCCCCTGCCCACCTCCCCTTCTGTAACCTTTGACCTCTAAATTTAAAGAGTTGTTATTTTGTTTTTTTTTTTTAAAGGTTTTCTTTTTTTTTTTTTTAATTTATTTATGATAGTCACAGAGAGAGAGAGAGAGAGAGGCAGAGACACAGGCAGAGGGAGAAGCAGGCTCCATGCACCGGGAGCCCGATGTGGGACTCGATCCCGGGTCTCCAGGATCGCGCCCTGAGCCACAGGCAGGCGCCAAACCGCTGCGCCACCCAGGGATCCCAAAGAGTTGTTATTTTGAAAAAGGACAGGAAATAGGTGGATTTTTTTTGTGTTTTGGACACTCTTAGGTATGTGTTCTGTTGCACTTTTGTGCAGATTGTCATTTGGACCCCTTGTTTTAAGTTGGAGTTATGCTTCACATGAAGTTATGCTTCAATTGAAACCATATCAAGCATGTCACAGAAAAACGTAACTAACATACTATTTTTTAAAACTTAAAAGTATGTATATGTATATGTTTGTATGTATACATATATATATATACACATATATATATACACATACACACACACACATAGTTTAGAAAGTAAATAATAGCAAAAACTTACCCCAGTGGATTCTCTTTCTAGTTATCCCATTGTCCCAGTTGAGAATCCCCAACCATAGAGGCAACTATTTTCAAATTTCTGTTTTCAAATTTCTGTTTATTCTGGCATTTAGTCATGTCTATACTTAGAGATAATAGGTAAACTGCTATCCTTCAAGTTACCAAGTTTTAGTTATTACTTATTGGCTTCCCATCCTGATAAATGAGGGTTTAGTGCTCTTATGTGACTTTCTTCTCTGCTTCTGCTCCCTTATCCTTCCAAGTTATATTATAATTTTTTGATATATTACTGTTTGATATCTACATTAGTATATCTGACCAGTTATCTGCAGCAAAGCATACTAGTGTACTATGACTCTTTCTGATGGACTTTTTGTTTTTCCTGAAGTTAGTATTCAATTTGTTTTTACATTTGATGTCTTTCTTTCTTTCTTTCTTTTTTTTTTTTTTAAGATTCTATTTATTTATTCATGATAGAGGCAGAGAATTGGCAGAGGGAGAAGCAGGCTTCCTGCAGGGAGCCTGATGTGGGACTTGATCCCGGACCCCGTGATCACACCCTGAGCTGAAGGCAGACAGTTGACCACTGAGCCACCCAAGCATCCCCATTTGCTTTATTTTCTTTGTGGCTATTGCAGTGCTGTGTTCATACCCACCCCACCTGCCCCCCTGCCCCCCCGCCAGAAGCCCTGATTTTAATTGTTTGCAGTTGTTTGTATTGTATTTGATTTTTTATTTCAAATTACTCATGTGAGATTGCTGGGAAAAGATGCACACAGTTGTTTCCGCTGTACCACCGAGCTATTGCTTTCTCATACTTGCTAATGGCCCACATTGGGATTTGATTTCGTTTTTAAGATTTATTTATTTGAGACAGAGAGAGAGAGAACACAAGTGGGAAGGAGGGTCAGAGGGAGAGGGAGAAGCAGGCTCCTCACTGAGCAAGGAGACCAATGCGAGGCTCAATTCTAGGACCCAGGATCATGACCTGAACTGAAGGCAGACACTTAACCCATTGAGCCACCCAGGGGCTCCCACACTGGGATTTTATTTATTTCTTATTATTTTTTTAAAGATTTATTTATTTATTTGTTTATGATAGAGAGAGAGAGGCAGAGACACAGGAGGAGGGAGAAGCAGGCTCCATGCTGGGAGCCCGACATGGGACTCGATCCCGGGACTCCAGAATCGTGCCCCGGGCCAAAGGCAGATGCTAAACCGCTGAGCCACCCAGGGATCCCTACACTGGGTTTTTTAAATTAGGTTTTCCTCTTCTTCTGTCATAGTTTAAAAATATTCCTATTTCATAAAGGGACTTAATTTGCTCTGAATCTCTTATTTAGAACTTTGAACATTTTAATTGGCCTTGGGGACTTTGTCAGTGTATACTTACACTTCTAGAAGGAAGAGATTTCAGAGTTCTGTGTGAGGTATACAGGGCCCTCGCCAGAGAAGATGAGGCAGAAGTTGCACAATGTGGTGGTAGTGTTTCGCTAGAGGAGGGACAAGGCTCTTGGTAAGTAGGGGTCACGGTGCAGCTGTGGTGGTCTCATGCCAGGTATGTCCCCGTGAGGCTGACAGTCAGAGTTCCTTTTGGGGCCGATTGCTTGAGCTCCTAGGCAGCTGAGGCCCTGCTCCACTTCCCTAACTGGCGTGACTACTTCTGTTTGGCGTGTCAGCAATGCCTGGCACCATGTATGCTGAGCAAGGGCTGAGATGGCATCCTTTGGCCTGCTGCTTGCGGAACTTGTTCATAGAGTTGAAAGTTGGCCTTCTCTGAAAGCTGGGCCTCTGAAAGTCATCTCCAGGCTCTGCTCCTGTGGCCCTGGGAGGTATTTGAGTTAGGTCAGAGCTCTGGTTTCCTGTAGAAACTGGTGTGTAAGCCATTGCCATCAGCATCTCAGTTAACCAGGGTGCTGCAGTGACGACTGGTATTGGAACCCTTTGTGGTGGTGCCTGCTTTCACCTGACATGCCATCGTCCAAGTGTGGGCTGGGGGTGTGCACCACCAACCTCGTGCAACTGGTTGGTATCGCTCTGTACTCTTTTCCCCACCTCCTGGAATGTTCAGGGCTGAAACAGACTTGTTCTTTTCCTTTTAAAAGTTTCCTTGTTCATCTCAGTGGGAGTTGGGTAGGGATGATAATTGAGTTGGTCTCAATCACTATTTATTTATTTATTTATTTATTTATTTATTTATTTTATTTATTTACTTTTTTTTTTAAGATTTTATTTATTCATGAGACACAGAGAGGGGACAGGGACATAGATGGAGAAGCAGGGGAGCCTGCTGCAGGACTCAATCCCAGGACCGCGGGATCACGACCTGAGCCAAAGGTAGATGCTCAACTGCTGAGCCACTTAGGTGGCCTGGCCTTAATCACTATTTAACCAGAAGTCTCAACCTGCCATCTGGATTGCAGTCATTCTGGGTTTATGTACAGCAACGACGCCGTCCTTTTGGACTACAGAGGAAAGTCGTCTTAAGAATGTACTGTGATCTGGCGAGAGGCTCCAGCAGCTCCATATGCTCCCCTGCTAACTGTTGGGCACTAGGTCGTCTTTCTGGAAAGGTCTAGTTAATGATAAGGTTAATGATAGTTAGAAGGCATAGGTGGAGGAAAGCCGTGAAAATACTTTGTTTCTTTTTAAAGTAAAGATGACACATCTGAAAGAGGGAATGCTCAGTTGTTGTTACTATCTGCAGTGTGTATTGGAGAATAGTTCCTGGATTTGTAACACACTTGTTTCAATACAGCAGTATTGGTCTCCATCCTTTTTTCTTGTTCGGGGTTGCTCTTCTCTGCAAACCTTGGTTTTTTATTTTGGTTTTGCTTAGGCAGCCCTCTGATGTAAAAATTGGTGGAATTGTCCCCTACATTATCATTCATTTCTGCCCAGGATGAGCATTAGTAAATTTCATGGATTGCTTCGCATTTCTGGATTTCTAACTCTGAACTTCTGATTCCCCCCCTTCCCCCCCACAGAGCCGAGAAAACAGAAGTCCTCAGTGAAGATCTGTTACAGGTAACGAAATAAAAATCTTTTTAAAGTGCTTTGTGTAAAGAGGATAAGAAACCAGACTTCCTTCGGGAGAACTGAAGTGGGTTTCTGTATGTCTGTGTAGGATCTGAAAGAGCAGGAAATTGATCAGCGTGGTGGTTCCGAGCAGGAGAGCAAAGCAGTTGGGTTGCCCGGTGATAAAAAGGGGATCTGAAACCTTGGTGTCATGTTATGAAGTTCCGACGGGGCTCGTCCTGCTTTCAAGCGCCAGGTGTTGGGGTGGGGTGGGGTGGGGAGGGGTCTGGCCGGCCTGGCCAGCCTGGCCATGCCCTGGCGCTGGGGCCAGGTCCCGGGTCCCGGGCAGGCCAAGGGACAGTCGCTCGCCGCTGGGATGGTGTCCTTGATGGGACAGGCCCTGCCAGCTGCGGCAGAGGGCCCCACTGGCTCCGACCTAGAGTTTCGACTTCTCCTTCCATGTCACGCTTTTGTTCTGTCCAGTTCTGGGCTGAGTTGGGTCCCCAGGGACTTAGAGTCTTCGTGACGGTGACCAGACCTTGCAGAACCACTCCGAGGCCCTGAGGTGGCCTGTCATCAGCCTGGACTTGTCTTCCTCTCTGTGGGGATGGCTGTTTCCTGTGGGACCTGAGCCAGGGCCACTGCACTTCGTCGATCAACAGGCTTCTCTAACTTGCGTGCCGGAAGCTTGTTCCAGAAGGCCGGGGACCCTTTCTCTACATCTCTTCACTCAGCCTCAACCCCCTTGATCCCCACCCACCCCAGCGCACGCTGGGAAGGACAGAAGCCCTTCTGTAGGAGGTTTCTCTTTAGCCTCCTCGCTTGTGTCCTTGCCGCTCGTGTCCATGACCCACAGCAGGTGTGTGCACTTAGCCCCAGAAGACCAAAGATCTGCTCCCAGGTGCCTCTGTGTCTCTCCCTACAGAGACAAGGAGCTGACGTGGTTTAGAAGAATGTTGCTGGGACCACCCCGTGTCAGAACATCTCTCAATTATGACAGCCATCCGCAGGCACAATATCGTAGGAGTGGTTTTTTTTTAACTTTCAGCAGAGACTTAAGTAGCTTTCACCTAGCTACGAGAAAGCCCGTTTTCAAGAGGAACATTTTGGTCTGATGTTTTGATGGTAAACACTTGTCTTTCCTAAGTGAAATCGTTGGAGAGTTTATTTTTCAGATAGGTAATTCCACTATTAAATTGATTTAAAATGTGGGCCACAGTGACAAACTTTGCAAAGCCATCGGTGTATACAGTACTGACACTGGCCTGTGCCCCTCACCTCCTCCTTCATGCCCGTCTCCAGGAGCAGCATGACACAGGCTTCAATGGGCAATGCAATCTCACAACGGCTCGCTTTAGGTGTTCTTCCAAATGTGTCCCAAAGGCTGGCTTTTCCGCCCACTTATCTAGAGCAGCAATCCATCCAGTAAGACACCCAACGATCTCATTGGGGAGGTTTTCCTACCCAAACTACCAAACGGGATTTTTTTCTTTTTTTCTTAGGCGACTGGTAGTTGAGGCTTTGGGAAAAGCCTGTTCTGTAGGCTTTGGTTATTTACAATCTACTACAGCAAGAATAGGTCCCAGGTGGGAGGTTACTTGTGGAACAGACCCCTCAACACCCCTAAGGCACCCAGTAGGAACTGCCCAGCAGAAGTCACTATGGGTCTCCTGCACGGGACACATGGGCTGGACTGCCTGGCGCTAACCCAGGGATTCGTCTGAGCGTACTGATTTCACTGGAAGGACATTTACTCTTACCATGCAAAGCAGCACTGGCCTTCTAATTCGAGGACAAGAAATAGACTCTTTCAATGTGAAGGAGTAAATAATTTCTTAAGATTTTATTTTTTTTAATTTTTTAATTTTTTAATTTTTTTTTTTTTGATAGTCTCACACACACACACAGAGAGAGAGAGAGGCAGAGACATAGGCAGAGGGAGAAGCAGAGTCCATGCACCGGGAGCCCGACATGAGATTCGATCCCGGGTCTCCAGGATCGCGCCCTGGGCCAAAAACAGGCGCCAAACCGCTGGGCCACCCAGGGAGCCCAATTTCTTAACATTTTAAACATAGGCCAAGCATCATCACACAACACTGGAAGATGGCCAATGTGAACTCATATTAAATGCAACGTCTCCGCGACATGCAGTGCTTCCGAATGCTGTAGCCCCAGCCAGGTCCAGAACATTCTGAGTAGGAAACTGTGCAGTATCTGCAGCCCCAAAGCAGCTGAGGCTGAAGCCTGGGCCAGCAGTAAAGCAATTGTTTATATTATTTTGGGGTCACATACTCTGCTTCATTCCAGAAGAGATGTGAGGCAGCTTAGCAGGAGGAATACATACAACAGAACAGTGGATGAGAGAACCAATGGCCTGGACAACTCCCGAAGCGGACTGCACGAAGGGTGCTGGCATCTCTAACAACAGGCCTGCTACGTGCCAGTCACCACAGCAGCACCCTAAGTTCATGGAGACTCCCCACCCTTCTAACTGGGAAGAAAATACAAGACGTACACGTAAACACACAACAGTCATTAACAAAACAAGACATGCTTGCCAAGTCGTGGCTGGAAAATGACAGGACAAGGGTCACAGGTGCGGGTGTCGACAGGGGCTGGGGAGACACCCAAGGTGCTGAGTCAGGTTGGGGGCAGAGGGACCCTCCTCCTTGGCTCCTGACCCATGTCACCATGTGGGAAAGCAGATCCAGTGTCACCAGACACTCTGAAACTTTCAAGAGAAGCCAGAAATCGCATTGTTATGTGAAGGCCTCTGGTGTTCTTTCTTTTTTTTTCTAAAGATTTATTTATTTATGATAGAGAGAGAGAGAGAGAGAGGCAGAGACACAGGCAGAGGGAGAAGCAGGCTCCATGCACCGGGAGCCTGACGTGGGATTCAATCCCGGGACTCCAGGATCGCGCCCAGGGCCAAAGGCAGGCGCCAAACCGCTAAGCCACCCAGGGATCCCCCGGGCATCTGCTGTTTAAATGATGGCAAAATTTTTTGAAAAATGAGATTATGGCTGTTTGTGACTTCTGGCACAGATCACAGACGTTAGTTAGAGTGACTCGGGAGACAAAAGTGTTTGCTGCTGATTTCAAGGAGGGGAACTGGGGGGCTCTGAAGGAAACAGACCAGGAAGATGAGCTGAGAAAAGACCAGGGACCTTGAGTCTCAAAATTTACATTTGATTTTATACCTCTTGCCCAAAGAATCAAGGGCCAGGAGCAGGGGGGCGATGGTGTGGGCAAAGGGGAAGGCCCCGCAGAGGGTAGAAAGGACAGACCCAGGCTCCGAGGTCAAGCCTGGATGGTTTGGAGATGGCATCCAGAACACATTGGAGGAGAAAAGGACAGATAGGGGGCAGGGGGAAGATCAGCTTGCTTTCTGGAATGTGTGGAATTTCAGGGGACAGCTGGCCCTCAGAGGGAACCAGCACTGGGGAGGCTGTGAGGGTGAAGACACCAGTGACATGGGGGCTGGCACTGGGAGGGGACTCTGGGGACAAGAGGGACAGACAGGAGGGGGATGAGCACACCCCTAAGAATGAAAGATCAGGTGCAACGGGGCACACATGCCATCAAAGGAGACAGTCCAAGCCACATCAGATGCCAGGATCCGACAATTAAGAGCCCTGGTTCAACTGGGAGCTGAGTATTTTTACTTTTTTTTTTTTTTTTTTTAACGATTTTATTTATTTACTGAGAGAGAGACAGAGAACACAAGTTGGAAGGAAAGGGAGAAGGCTCCCAGCTGAGCAGGGAGCCAATGTGGGGCTTGATTCCAGGAACCTGGGATCATGACCTGAGCCGAAGCCAGATGCCTAACCGAGTGAGCTACCCAGGTGCCCCAGCAATCTCAACTGAAGGGTGACTGGGAGCAGATGCAAAACTGCACCGTGTGACGGGGTGGCCAGAGGAAACGAGTCATTCAGACAGCCTACCAGAAGAACAGGAGGATGAGACGCACGCAACAGGGCCCCGGGCTACGGACAGGTGGGTACCAAGTCCCATCAGCTGACCACGTGGGTGAGATGGCAGCGCCCGGGGACACGACGACTGGGGGTGGGGGGTCAAGGTGGTTTTTCCACCTACACTAAGAATGCTCTGAGTCTTTCTGGAAATAGAAGAAGAAAAAGGAAGAGGAAGACAGGAACTAGGACGTCAGGGAGACAGGAGGACAGGCGGAGGTGGCAGCAGCTGAAGCCCAAGGTGTGGCAACCCCACAAAGAAAGACGGATCTCGTCTCCTTCGCTGGGTTTCCACCCCGCACGCCAGCCCCCTGCTCCATCCTCAGCCTCCTTCCTGCCCTCTTCCTGTTCCCTGTCACCTGCTGACATACTTCTCTAGGGACAAGAACCTTGGGGGGGGGGGAACAGTTAAAAAAAGAAAAAAAAGAGTCATGCTCCCCAAACCCAATCTTCTCTTTCTTTGTGCTTATTAGTCATCTTCAAACTAGACTTTAATTAATTCAAGGCTAAGATGATGATGGTTCCTGCTTTTTCCTACACAGGGCCGGGCGCACAGTAGGCATCCCACAAATACAGCGCGCTTGGCATCTGGACCTTGCCCGGCAAGCGCCTGCCCCTTGCAAGGCTGAGTGTTTGCCAGCAGCTTCGCTCTGTGCACTGTGACTCAACCTCATCATCCACGAACAAGAAATGGGATCACTTAGCAAAGCAAGGACAACTCATCGTAGGAAGGGTCGATCAGACACACGGACTCAGGATGGATGAAGATCAGATTTTGCAAGTTGGTGGAGATACAGAATTTTCTAATTCTCTACTCCCAAGCCTTTCAGGCACAAAGTCAGAAGGTGCTGGGACCTCCTCAAATTTAGGGGAGAAGTGGCATCCTTGAGGGTGCCAGTGGGTTACGCACACCCCCACACATATATCCCGCCCGCACACCTGCTGACTTGCTGTCCAGATCACAGAGTCACCACACTCAGCGCCTGGCTGCTCCTCGTCAGCTCAGACCAGAGGTTCTGCAGGGGGACCCTAAGCTCCACGTATGGGCTCTACACAAGCAAAATGGTATGATAGGTCCGAAGAAGGCAGAGCAACTTCTGCCTCAACTGGGCTCACTGATCTCTGCTGGTATGTGTTCTGACGGCAAGTCAGAGAGAGTCAAGAGCTTTAGTGCTCGGGTTAAACTAAACATCAGGAGAAAGCTCAGTCCATTCGTGGCATGTGGGTGAAGTCTACGGTGAGCAGAACGTTAGCACTAAGATCCAGAGCCTTGTGGGACCGCAAGGAAGAGGGGCAAGGAGGTGGCCGTGGCCTTACGATTTAGTCACGTTGACGAGGGAGTATCGAGTACTGACTTCTCAAGTTCCTTTTAGAAGGTCCACACTCTTTTCCCTAGAACATACGCTCTTGGAATCACAGGGTCAGAATTAAACCCAACGGAATGAATAACTGACTTGGGAAAGGATAAGATGGGAAAACACACACAGGCACAGCCCAAAGGGTCCAGCTCCCTCTTCAACTGAAGATGTCAGGGGAGCTGTGAATGTCCCATTAGTATGTTAATTTGGGTTGGAAGAAATTAGAGAATGCGGCGAGGAAAGATGAAATTATGCTGGGAGACAGTACTCTCCGAGGCAGAGAGGCGTTAGCCAGAGGAGATGCATGCAAAGGAGTCAGGGGAAGAAGAACAGAGGCGGAAGTGGCAGAGGCTTAGGAAAGGGGCATCAGCCAGCACGCAGGTTACATTACCTTGATGGGCTCGCATTTCGGGAAGGGCCTTTTCTAAGACTGCTAATGCTTTTCTATGGTAATCTGCTTGGGCTTCTAATAACTGAGAACAGACCCACATTCAAAAACAAAAGTAACGTTAGCATCAGATGGACACACACACAATGGTGAGCAAAACCAAAAATGAAATCTTTTGCAAAAGAAAGCTAAAATGACTCAATTTTTACAATGCGTTCGTATTTTGTCAAGGGAAGGTGCTTACCGTAACAAAGAATTTGCCATACTCCCCTTCTTTGGACATAAAGCTGTACATATCTGCTGCTAGTTGATCCTGGTGAGTGGAAGAGAAGACAAGTCACTGAAGAAAATGGTATCTGAGAATTAAGATCCATGGGCTCTCAGAGCAAAATGTCATGGAAAGAGCCACGGATTAAATGCCCATCATCTGGGAGGGTGCCTGGGGGGGCTCAGTTGGTTGAGCATCTGCCTTCAGCCCAGGTCATGATTCCAGGGTCCTGGGATCAAGCCCTGCATCGAGCTCCCTGCTCAGCAGGGAGTCTGCTTCTCTCTCTCCCTCTGTTCCTCCTCACTACTCGTGCCCCCCTCTCTCTCTGTCTCAAATAAATAAATGAAATCTTAAAAAAACAAAAACAAAAACAAGGGATCCCTGGGTGGCGCAGCGGTTTGGTGCCTGCCCTTGGCCCAGGTTGCGATCCTGGAGACCCAGGATCGAATCCCAAGTCGGGCTCCCGGTGCATGGAGCCTGCTTCTCCCTCTGCCTATGTCTCTGCCTCTCTCTCTCTCTCTCTGTGTGTGTGACTATCATAAATAAAAAACAAAAACAAAAACAAAAACATGTCCATAACTAGGATGACAATGAATGAATGAATGAATGAATGAATGAATAAATAAATAAATAAATAAATAAATAAATAAATAAATAAAGAAGGAAGCTTATTAGGGGAATGATATGGCAAGATCTCCAAGATACACGGCTCATATTCCTTATTAAGAAGTGAAGTATAGAGCATTACTTATGCTGTGTTACCATCTGTGTAAAAATAGGAAAGAAAGAAATGTTATATTTTTGCTGCTACATTTGATTAAAAATATCTCTGGAAGAAAAAAACACGAAATTGACAACAGGGGGTTACCTTTGGTGAGCAGTGGGAGTTCAGTAGAAGCAGGACAAGGATGGAAGAAAAGACTTCACTCTGTATGGTTTTTTACTTTTTCCAAAGATTTATTTATTTTAGAGACAGAGAGCACACATGTGTATAGGGGAGTGGTCAGAGGGAGAGAAAGAGAATCTTTTTTTTTTTTAAGATTTATTTAGGGGGGTGGGGGTGAATGGGTGACGGGCACGGAGGGGGACACTAGACGGGATGAGCACTGGGTGTTATTCTGTATGTTGGTAAATTGAACACCAATAAAAGTTAATTTATAAAAAAAAGAAAAAAAAAGATTTATTTATTATTTATGATAGACATAGAAAGAGAGGCAGAGACACAGGAGGAGGGAGAAGCAGGTTCCATGCCGGGAGCCTGACGTGGGATTCGATCCTGGGACACCAGGATCATGCCCTGGGCCAAAGTCAGGTGCCAAACCGCTGAGCCACCCAGGGATCCCCGAGAAAGAGAATCTTAAGCCGACTCTGCACTGAGCAGACAGCCCGATGCAGGACTCAGTCCCGAGACCCTGAGATCATGACCTGAGCAGAAGGCAGACCACCTGAGCCACCCAGGTGCCTGTTTTATACTTTTGATATTTGAACTAATGTAGATGAATTGCTTATACAAAATTAAATAATTTATTTAAAAAGTGATAGATTAGGGTAGCCTGGGTGGCTCAGTGGTTTAGCACCACCTTCAGCCCAGGGCCTGATCCTGGAGACCTGGGATCGAGTCTCACGTCGGGCTCCCTGCACGGAGCCTGCTTCTCCCTCTGCCTCTCTCTCCCTCTCTGTATCTTTCACGAATAAATAAATAAAATCTTTAAAAAAAGAATGATAGATTAGCCAATTGGACAGAAATATATCCTACTTTTCCTTATTATTTTAGAATTACATTCTAATTAATCTGATATATTCAAATTATAGACATCCTAGATTATATTTGAATTACGTATGTATTTATAAAATGTACTGTCTTCTGTTTTCAGTGCACAAATTAACACGAAGGCCTCCTTTATGAAAAATATCTGGAAATGCTAGTTTGGAGCAACAAAAATTCTTTTAGAATAACCAGGAAAAAAAAAAGAATAACCAGGAAAGCAACAGAGTAATTCATGGAGCCCCACCTCTACACCCTCAAAAAAGAGAGGGAGAGAAAGAAAAGAGAATGAGGGCAGGGCAGAGAAGAAAGAAAAGAAGGGAAAAGAAACAGAAAAGCCTTTTCACTCACATGTGGAATTTAACAAAACAAAACATATAAACACAGGGGGGGAAAAAAGAGGGAAGGAAACCATAAGAAAGACCCTCTTCTTTTTTTGAGTAGGTTCCAAGGTCAATATGGGGCTTGAACTCTCAAACCCCAACGAAGATCAAGAGTTGTATGCTCTATTGATTGAGCCAGCCAGGAGCCCCAAAGAGACTCTAAACGGTTGCTGATGGGGAGGTGTGTGTGTGTGTGGGGGGGGGCAGGCTAAATGGGGAGAGGGACAGGGGGAGGGCACTTGTGCTAAGCAGGGTGTGTTGTATGTAAGTGATGAACCACTAAATTCTACTCCTGAAACTACTCTTACACTATATGTTAACTAAATAGAATTTAAATGAAATTTGAGAAATAAATTTTAAAAAAAGGGAGGAGAAAAGGCCTGGCACTAGTGGAAGCTGGGGGTGACCTCAGTGAGTTTGTGCCACCTTGATGGCCAAGACAATTGAGTCTAGTGGTCACATGGGGTCAGAAGACGGAAAATGAAGCCTTGAGAGTGCCTGGGTGGCTCAGTCGGTTAAGCGTCTGCTTTCAGCTCAGGTCGTGATCTGATGGTCCTGGGATGGAGGCTCGCCTCCAGCTCCCTGCTAGTGGAGAGTCTGCTTGAGATTCTTTTTCCTTCTGACTCTCCCCCACCTCCATGCACACACTCTCTCTCAAATAGAGAAATAAAATCTTAGGGATGCCTGGGTGGCTCAATGGGTGAGCATCTGCCTTTTGCTCAGGTCATGATCCCAGGGTCCTGGGGTCGAGTCCCCCAGCATGCTCCCCGCAGGGAGCATGCTTCTCCCTCTACCTATGTCTCTGTCTCTCTCTATGTGTCTCTCATAAATAAAATATTTAAAAATAAATAAATAAAATCTTAAAAAAAAAAAAAGAAAATGAAGCCTTGGGCCTGGTGAAGTGAGGAACTGTAACAGACAAGCACATGTACATCCCACACAAACATTCCCAAGGAACTATTCCTCTGATGACAGGGTAGATTAGGAAACATCTGCTCAGCAGTGTATGGCAAGACTACAGTATATGCATTTTGTGTTGGGCTCTGAGTCTGGGAAAGTAAAAACATTTCCCTGGATTTGACAAACATTTTACATCTGCTTTCGCAAAGGTCTGGAGTTTGAGTTTACTATACGTGTTGTGTGGGGGATCCTCAAACCGTGAAAGGTTAGTTAAAAAGGGCCTGGCACTGGTCATGCTCTCTGGGGAGAATCACTCCCAATCCCTAGGAGTCCCAGAGACAAAGTCTCTCTTAAAATGAGCTCGCAGTACAAAACTGCAAAACACAGGAGGAAACAATCCACCATGAAGCAAATTCTTACAGAGGAAACAGAATTCTCAAAGACTGTTATGATAAGTACATATAAAATGATTAAACGTGAGAAAAGAAAGAAGCACTAGAAAACAATAACACACTATCAAAAAACACTGACTTTGAAGAATTAGAACTGAAAAATGCAGTAAATGAAATTCAAAACTCGATGTAAATTATACAGTAGATGAGACCTAGTTAAAGAAAAAAACAGTGAAAATGTATTTAGATCTCAGGAAATCATAGAAGTCAGTAAAAAGGGAGACAGAAACTATCGTCACAGGTTTTCACCATTTGAAATGAGAAACTATGACATGGAAGTTGAGAGAAGATACTTCAGCCCATAACATACCAGTTCAGACTCCTAAGATCTCTCCCACATTTATGTCTAAGCAGCCAGTAGCCAAGATCCAGCTTAGACTGGATCTGAGGAATGCTCTGTAATGCCACTAGCAAAGCTACAACTCTTCTGAACAATAAACCACGATGAGACTATTTTATCAGAAGCACTTAATTGGGGGGATCCCTGGGTGGCCCAGCGGTTTGGCGCCTGCCTTTGGCCCAGGGTGCGATCCTGGAGACCCGGGATCGAATCCCACGTCGGGCTCGCAGTGCATGGAGCCTGCTTCTCGCTCTGTCAATGTCCCTGTGTCTCTCATGAACAAATAAATAAAAAAAAATTAAAAACGTTTTTAAAAGTTCTGTTTTTTCCAAATATAAACCAATTCTAGCAACAGTTAAAAAGTAATCCTTTCCTTCTCTATAGATATATGATGATCCCTTTAGTATATATTCAATTATTTATTTATTTATTTAGTTTTTTTTTTTAAAGATTTAGTTTTTTTTTTTTTTAATTTACTTATGATAGTCACAGAGAGAGAGAGGCAGAGACACAGGCAGAGGGAGAAGCAGGCTCCATGCACCGGGAGCCCAATGTGGGATTCAATCCCGAGTATCCAGGATCGCGCCCCGGGCCAAAGGCAGGCGCCAAACCGCTGCGCCACCCAGGGATCCCTATATTCAATTATTTAGAATAATAGCATTAATTGTAGAAAGCCTAGCTATTCTGCAGAATGATTTTTGTGCCTATTGTGCTTTTTTAAAAAAAAAAAAAAGATTTTCTTTTGGGGGGCTCCTGGGTGGCTTAATGGTTGAGTGTCTGACTCTTGATTTTGGCTCAGGTCATGATCTTAGGGTCAAGAGATCAAGCCCTGTGTAGGGCTCCTTGCTCACTGCGGAGTCTGCTTGAGATTCTCTCCCTCTTCCTCTGTCCCTCCCCCAGCTCATGCTCTCTCTAAACAAAGAAATAAATAAAAATTTAAAATAAAATAAAATGTATGGCACCTGGCTGGCTTAGTCAGTTGAGAGTCTGTCTTTGGCTTGGGTCATGATCCCAGAGTCCTGAAATGGAGTCCTGCATCAGGCTCCCTACTCAGGGAGGAGTCTGCTTCTCCCTCTGCCCTCCCTTCAGCTCGTGCTCTCATGTTCTCTCTCTAATAAGTAAATAAAATCTAAAAAAAAAAAAACCCAAAACTCTATACCCAATGTGAGGTTCAAACGTACAACCCTGAGATTAGGAGTCACCTGCTCCACTGGCTGAGCCAGCCAGGCACCCCTATTGTGCACTGTTTTAATTGCTGTAACCTTGTATGTTTTGCTACGGTTTTTTTTTTTTTTTTGCCCGTTTTTCATCTATTCTTTATCTTAAATGAGCTCAGCCATTTTTGTCATTTAAAAAAATGAATTGAATTTTTTTCAAAGAATGTTTTATTCTGAACAAAGTCATGCAGGGTCTTAGAAAATAAAGAAGGAAGAACAAACTAAAACCCCCCTTTCCTGTCATTCAGAGTATTCTGATAGGACTTGTGTGGCACACTCAATAATCTGCAATATTTGACCTTTCCTCTGTCATTTGCAAGCACCAGGTTGATGCAAGAACAAAGTGTTTTTTTTTTTTATTTTTAATTTTTTTATTTTTTTAATTTATGATAGTCACAGAGAGAGAGAGAGAGAGAGAGAGAGAGAGAGAGAGAGAGAGAGAGGCAGAGACACGGGCAGAGGGAGAAGCAGGCTCCATGCACCGGGAGCTCGACGCGGAACTTGATCCCGGGTCTCCAGGATCGCGCCCTGGGCCAAAGGCAGGCACCAAACTGCTGCGCCACCCAGGGATCCCCAAGAACAAAGTATTCAGGAAAGTCTTGTACCTTGCACAGCTCTACTTTATTTCCAGCTTCATCCATCTCTTCCTTTAGGGTATCGATTTTTGATGGAAGCCCCTGGAAGTTGGTTCCTGAAGATTTGTGAGCCTGGTTCCACCTGCAAAACATGGGGCAACCAGCACCTGAGAACCAGCTGCACATATTCAACCTTGTAGAGAGTCAAGGCCCTCGGGGAGACAGATTCTTTCCCCAAACTGATTCTCCCTGGTTTGGGCAGCATACCTAGGATGTCGGCTTCTCTTGAGTTTATCTTCCAGGAATGGAAGCAAGCAAAAAGAACCAGGAGCTCCTCAGCATGACAGGACTCTTGCACAGCTGTCCGCTCTGAGAATAATCTACCCCACCTTGTCTCACACGCCCCACTGCTGGAAATCATGCCGTGAAACCCCTTTCCTAGAGTGTCTAATCGTTCCATCCTTGCCATCAAACAGCCCATGTGCTTTCCTCCTTTGACCTGGAATGTTCCTGAGTCACTGGGAGTCAATCCTGCTCTTGGACTCCTATGACTCTTCCCGCTACCATCCTCATCTGTGATCACTTCCAGCAAGTAAAATCCAGAACTTCAGTCATGCAGCTAGCAATCCACAGCAAGGAAAGTACTTGTAGAATTAAAAACATTTCTTAGAATTAATATTCTAAAGACAAAATTTAAAGCAAATCTGAAGCATAATGTGGAATATTTACATTCCCTTTTCAGTAGGTCAAGAGGACTGAACAAAGGAAGAATTCTATCATAGCAAGAATAGGGGAGTGCATGGGGATAATAATCTATAACACTTTCTGTGTGGTTTTCAAGTAGGCTTTGACCTTCTGTTGGAGTATTCTGGAAAGTTTCAACAACTGAAATGTAAACATGGATATTATGGAGATGAAAACCCATGCTAGCAACTCCTCAAGCTTCCCAGCTGCTGCACCGCCCCCCAGATAGCATGCTGCTTTGCCTTCTTTCCAGTTCCCGAGGTGAGGCACTCTTCCAAGCAGGCCTTTGGCACACTTGCCCAGCTGGCGATGTCATGTAGTAGACAGAGCATGGACCTCGGAGTGTGACATGCTCAGGTTTGAAAACTGGCTCTCCCTGTCACTAGCTGTGTGACCTCAGGAAATGACTTAACCTCTCTGTGCCTCACTAACCTCATTTGTAAAACAAGATGCCTTGCAGAACCATCATAAGGAGTCAGGGAGAGGACAAATATTTATGCATATGTGTGTGTGTGTACCGATAATATCTGCCGTATAATGGATTCCTACTTAGAAAATGAGGAGTAATTAGTCATTAGTGATTATCATTTCCCTCCAGGGAAAAGCCACGGGAATAAGTAAAGAAGAAATATTCAACTGTTTGTTTCTCTAATACCTGCTTTGATTGGTTAAGCGAACAAGACCACGAAGGCAGATCAAGAATCAGTGTTGAAATCCCCTCCGGGATAAATACATGTATTATAGACGTAAACTTTGTGGCAGATAAGCATCTATGATGTCACTCAACCAACTCCAGTAAAGAGCATTCATGGCCTCATTTAATTAACCATTAGAACATTCTTCTTTATCTTGAGCCCAAACTCTACCTCACAGTGGCCTCCACGCCTGGTCCAGGCCCGAGGATTTAATCACAGGTGTACACGGAACATTTGCGAGGGTTTGCAGACAGGACCATCTGCGAGCGTTTGCAGACAGGACCCTCGCTCTGACATTTATCATCTCTAAGGCATGAAGCAAGTCATGCGGATATTCGGGGAGGTTCCACCGGTATCTGTAAAAGAGGTCTCTTCTCAAGAGTAAGGGGTGTTACCTAACCCACGAAATCCTGCTCCCTCTCCAATCCTCATTGAGGGGTCTCTGCATGTAATACCTAGCCGAGAGTCTGACACAGTAAGCACCCCACTGAGAGCTGGTGAAAACATCAATGAGCCAATAAATAGCAACCGGTGGAAGGATCAAACAAGCTCAATACCTGGCATGTGGCCAGTGGCCAGTAAGTGCTGGCAATTACTTTTACCATGTGCTAATGCCTAGATGTATACCTTTTATGATCTCGACGTTTCTTAAATCAGGACATGTCTTAAAAGTGACTTGTACATTAAATCGAGTGGTGTTTCTCCCTGCCACCCTCCACCCAAAAAGTAAATATTAAATCAGTGGTGCAGGATACTCAGTGGCATCTTAGAAACAAGGAGAAATGCTTAGAAACAAGGAAATGCTATATTGTAGAATTGCTACAGATGTTCTAAATCTGCAATAAAAAGACCTGTGATGGGTAGAAGCTCAGGAAATGAGGGCTGTATCCCCATATATTTGCCAAAGAGAAATAATCACATCGACCTCACAGGACCGCAATGAGAATTAAGCTACAAAATAAGTCACAGAGATGAAGAGCCACAGTATAGGCAACACAATAATATTGTAATAACTTTCTATGGGGACAGATGGTCATGACACTTATTGTGATGAGCACAGAGCAATGCATAGAATTGTCGCATCAAAGTTGTGCACGTAAAAATATACAATATTGTATGCCAATTATTCTTTAATAATTAAAAAAATAAACAAACCAGAGAGCTAACAGAGCCACCTTTAAAAAAAAATAATAATGAAGTTTTATTGGAACACAGCCACGCTTTCATTTCCTTATGGTCCAGCACTGTTTTTATGCTACACAGTGCAGTTGAATAGCTGTAACGGGGACCACCCGGGGTGCAACGCTGAAAATATTCACTACTTGGCCTTTTACAGAAAGGTTGTTGTTTTGGTTTGGTTTTTTTCCTTTTACAGAAAGTTTAGCAGTCCTTGTGATAAAGTCTGAGGAAGGATGGGGCCGGGGCACTGTCTCCATATTCCCCACTGTCACCCGAGGAAAAAGCCACATAAGTCACGGATGCAGATGCCCTCGGGGACACAGCCAGGCTGCAGTCCTGCCAGGAAGCACGGCAGACAGCCATCCAGCACCAACCCACAGGTCAGCAGCTCTCAGAGATGGTTACTGAGTTTTACGGGCGTTGCTCCCTCCTGAATGCAGCATTGGATTGTGAAAGGACCACAACCACATGGGGTTTGGACACAGCAGGTCCCTCAGAACTGCTAAGATCAGAGATCTACTTATTCCTACCCTCTGCTACCCTAGCAACAAATGCTCTTAGAACGGTTAGCCACTGACTCCTCGCCCCTTAAGACACTTACTTATGTTTCTGTCTTTTCCTTTTTTTCTGCCTCCTTTGACTGCTGATTCACTAAGAACAGGATGTTCTAACATCATCTCCATTGCCACACTTGGGAGAATGAACCCTAAAAGCAGGTGTAAGTGGGTGTGACTTGGTCTGTGGGTCAAGTGCGTGAATCTGGACACCTGCATTTTGTCCACCGAGTGACCTTTCCCTCACCTGTGTGGGGGGATGAGGATGGTTGCTGGGAGAAGTTATTTTCATAGCTCTACCTTACCTGGCTCTGACTGAATCCCAGTCTAACACCAATTTAGCAAGCTGTTTCCTCTGTTTTTGGATGTTGGGAATCTCCAGCTAGAAAGCACAAACCACACATGAAATAGGATGAGCTTTGGGTTTTAAACTTAACATTTGAAAGGGCATAATTAATTTACTTTTTTTTCCCTCTTGGCATAAGATTTTGTACCCACCATTTATTCCCCTTCTTTCCAAAAAGAAGCATACGTCAAAGCCGCGGATTACTGTTAAAACTGTAGACACAAGCAAACCATTCATCATGCGTCCCCCACCAATCCTGGCTCTTCTGTGTGGCCCGGTGAAAGAACTCACCTCTGCTATGTTGCACAGAGGATCCACAATCTCTTTCTCAACAAAGGATTCATGCTGAGTAAGTTCGAGAGCCAGCTGATTCTCAGCATCCCCACATGTCTCCAGCATCTTCCTTTAAAAACACAAGACACCCCCACAACAAGCGTATGCTCAGTAAGTCAGGTAGGTCAGTACCATATCGGGCCAGTGCTGCTCACTACAGGATGGGAACACATTAGGGTGCCACACAGTAGAACCTTAAAAACATTAGAAGTTTGGGGTGTCACCCAAAATGTGAGTCCACAGATCTGTGCTTTATTTTTACTTTTTAAAAGATTTTATTTATTTATTCATGAGCGACACAGAGAGAGAGGCGGAGACACAGGCACAGGGAGAAGCGGGCTCCCCATGGGGAGGACTCAATCCCAGGACCCCAGTCTCACTCCATGAGCCAAAGGCAGATGCTCAACCACTGGGCCACCCAGGCGTACCCAGATCTGTGCTTTAAAATCAAAACGACCGTTCATGGGCATTATCAAGTGTGTCTTATGCATCTGTTAAACTGATAACTATATTGCTAGGTTAATGTTTCATCTGTTGCTATAAAACATTAAATTTATTAAATCTTTAAAAAATGAATAAATAAAATGAAAAGGACTATCGTGGGTATACTTTGTGTGTTATGTGTAAGGCAGGTATGTGAACGTGAGGTGATAACTCTAGGATTAGGTTCTCAACGCGCGTGTCCTGCAAAGCCTGTTGAAATTCTTTAGAATCCTACCGAAAGTTCATTCTCTGCTGTTTTGTGTCTGTTAGCGAGGCCAGCCTAGGCAGTGTTTTCTCCAGAGTTACTGCGAGTGCTGGTTTTCTACTGGGTAGAAGAGACCATGGGCTAACAACCATCATGTTTCCTTTTGCTTCCCTGTAAGCATATAGCTGATGTCACACGGAGGACGGGTGCCAGTGAGGCGACTGCTCTCATCCTGACACTCCCTCTCTCATCTTACCTCCCTCCTTGCTCTCCCCTTCAAGATCTCCATGGCGTTCTACTGAAAGAGTAATGTGTGTGGCACAGGCATGAGATGGCCTTGGTGCTGTCATTAAGAACATGATCTCTGGTGCCAAGCTGCCCGAGTTGGGAACCAGGCTTTGCCGTTCACCAGCTGTGTGGTCTGGGGCAGTGGACTTACTGTCTCTGTCTGTCAATTTCCTCAGTGGTAGAATGGCAGTGGCAATACAGGCTCCCTCCTAGGTTGTCTGGAGGACTCAGTGAGTGACTACTTGGAAAGCACGTGGAACAGTGCTAGTGCAGAGCAAGCACTCTTGAAGCAGCTGTGCTGACGACAACAGTAGGAAGGAGAAAAACTGGGACACAACCTACCTGGAGGGAACAGGGGCGCCAGCATGGACACGTGTGCCACGCCCCCGCCCCCCACCCAGGGCCATTGTCCGCAATATGAGAGCATAGACAGGATGGAGAAAGCATAAAGAGTGAGGGGAAACCATCATCCTTCAAAGAACAAAGGAAGAATTGTAAGCCATGGAGCAGGACAGGCCCCAGGAAATGTGAAGTCAAAGTCCATGCATGGCAGCCGGAAAGCAAAGCCCACCGTACAGCTGGAGAGAGCAGAGGGGATAAAAGGACACCAGCTTCACACAGATGCAAGTAGAAGGGCAGTCAACCTTCCCTCTTATAGTGAAAACAGTTTCATTATTAGATTTTGAAAAATTATTAAATAACACATGCTTCCTGCAAAAATAAAAAAATCCAAATAATTCACATATAACACCATTTTGAGATAACCACGATTGATATAATGGTGACCACCCTTAAAGGAAGTGACTCTTTTATTATTAAGATTATTATTTATTTGAGAGAGAGACAGAGAGCGAGAGCACAAGCAGGGGAGGAGCAGAGGGAGAAGCAGACTCCCTGCTGAGCAGGGATCCTGATGCAGGGCTCAATGCCAGGACCCCGGGATCATGACCTGAGCCGAAGGCAGATGCCTGAACGACTGAGCCACCCAGGCGCCCTAGGAAGTGACTCTTAAGGACCAGAAGGGGTCAGTCAGAGTTTGTAAACCTGAGTCAACAGCTGGAACACGGAAAGGACTTATTATTCTTTATACCCAAATTCAGAGGTATAAATATGGACCCTACCAATTACTTTTGCTAGCAGCACCCCTCCCTTTTTTTTAAAGGATTTTATTTATTTAAAATAAATATATTTTATTTATTTTATTTATTTATATCATGAATACATGAACACACAGAGAGGCAGAGACACAGGCAGAGGGAAAAACAGGCTCCCTGTGGAGAGCCCGATGTGAGACTCGATCCCGGGACCTGGGACCACACCCTGAGCCAAAGGCAGATGCTCAACCACTGAGCCACCCAGGCGTACTACTAGCAGCCCTTTCAACCAACTCCAGCTTTGTTCCTATTCAATGGAAGATTCTCTACCATCCCAGTGGCCGTGTCCCACTTTTTCCCCACAGAGACTGTGTCATTCTCCTGGTGGATGCTCCACGCCATCATGCTCACGGTCCCTCTATCACACAGGTGGCTGTCACACACACCACCCACCTACACATTCCCACTGACTCACAGGGCACTGCGCTCTCTGCCTGAAAGCAGCCAACACTTACCCCAGCAGAGAGTCTTCCAGTTGAGTCGATGCTTCTTGCATGATCTGAGCGAGAGCGGTCAGAGGGAGTTTTTTCTGGAAAGCAGAAAAAGACATTGTGTTGGTTTCACTATTATTGACACCCATTCTCAATGACCTGCTTCAGGTCACCCTTCAGTGATTTCTCCTCCAGGCAAACCGTACAGATAAGAGACAGCCTGTCTCGGTTCAGGTTCTGGTCTCAAAGGTAGAAGTTATGGGACTTTACCTCTGTGCCCATGTCCTCAAGCATAGATGATCCAGAGACATGATAACAGTGCGAGTGTCCTACGGCCGTCTGTCTATGGAGATATTCAACACCAAGTGCCAAGCACGTGGTAAAATAATTCAGTAAATGCCAGCTGCTAGTATTATTGTTGTGGTTGCTGTTACCGTTTTTAAAGATTTTATTTATTTGAGGAAGAGAGAAAGTGATAGAACACAAATGGGGGGGGGAGGGAGAAGCAGACTCCACCCGAGTCCAACCTGGGGCTTGATCTCATGACCCCAGAGACCATGACACTGAGACCATGACCTGAACCAAAACCAAGAGTGGGGGCTGCATGGGCGGCTCAGTCGGTTAAGCGTCCAACTCTTGCTTTCGGCTCAGGTCATGATCTCACCGCTGTGGGATCAAGCGCCATGTCCGTCTCTGCTCAGCGTGGAATCTGCTTCAGATTCTCTCTCGTCCCTCTCCTCACACTCTTTTAGGTTTTAGTCATTTATCTGAGAGAGAGAGAAAGCACAAGCAGGGGAGCGGAGGGAGAGAGAGAAACAGGTTCCCCGCTGAGCCAAAGGCACTTCACTGATTGGGCCACCCAGGTGCCCCATAATAAAATAAAATCTGATTAAAAAAAAAAGGAAAAAAAAAAACCAAGTGTTGGTCCCTTAACGACTTTGCCACCCAGGCACCCCACAGCCCGTAGAATACTTATTCATAAACTGGCTCTTAATTTGGCTGGAATCATAACTATACAGCTGAAGTATCTAAAAGTATCTGGCTAAATATCGGAAAAAGTTTTCTTCCAGGATTTAAGCACAAAGCCATGCAATTTCCTCTCACACATCTGTTTCTCAGCTGGAAATGACCATAAGGGTCATCTGATTAATGCTCTAATTGTCCAGTCAAGGAACGTGAAGCCTGGGGGAGGTCAGGTGGATTGGCCGGGGACCCCGGTGAGGGGCAACAGAGCCAGACCTCCACGCCCATGGCCTGCGCCCCAGTTCAGCTCCTCTCCACCACTGGTTGAGGGCTCATCTCAGAATATGGCTATAAGGGGCCTGGGAAGTCCCTGGAAAGTGGGTTGGGGATACCACAGGATCTGCTAACAGATCCATGTGATTCTGCTTCCTCACTAGAAAGGGCCCTCACGGCAAGAACACAGGGTCCGTCTTGCCGTGCCACTGTCGAACCTTGACCTTTACGGGCCACCTGCCTTTCCTACTATCAATGGGCTCCATGCGACACACGCACATTTGCTTGCCTTGTAGAGAATATCTCTGGAAGGGTATACAGGAAACGACTAGTGCTGCTCCTTCTGGAGAGGACAGCACGGTGCCTGGGGAACAGGACCGGGAAAGACCTTGCTTTATGTTCTTCTGTGTATTCTGGGTTTTGACCATGTAAATATGCAGCCGATCCAAAAAACAGTATATTGAAACGTAAAGATAAATAACAACTCTATTTACCCATCTCTCATTTTCTCAAGTTGTTTTCAACTAAGTCAATAGCAAGCATTACCTGCCCCACAAGGAGACATTTCCAGCTTCTGCACTTCCACACCAGGAAGACAGGAGAGGATGGGCAGGGGGCCTAGATCACAGTGAGGGTAATTCATACATTTTAGGAATGCTGTCTTTTTTTTTTTTTTTAAGGTTTATTTTACTTTAGAGAAAGAGTGAGTGTGTGACCAGGGGTGTGGAGGGGCAGCGGGAGAGGGAGAGAGAGTCCCAAGCAGACTGTGCTGAGCACGGAGCCCATCCTGGGACCTGATCGCATGACCTTGAGACCATGACCTGAGCAAAAGCCAAGAGTCAGACACAACCAACTGTGCTGCCCAGGAGCTCCAATAATGCCGCCGTCCTAAGGGAATTTAAGTCTGGGATAAATGCAATCATCAGGAGAAATATACTTTGTGCAACTCTGGAGCTCTGGACAGAAAAAAAAAATCATAAAAAGAGGAGTCTACTTTGACAAGTGTCATTCAAGCTCCCAGCTGTAAACAGCCTTGTGGTTTCCAGGTCCTGAACCCAAAGCCACCACAATCCTGTTTCCTGTCGTACATAAATCGGGACATTCTGCTTATTTAACCCTGTGCTCCTGGATGAAGATGGTACCTACCACTGCCATACTCCTCCACAAACACAGCTGAGCACTTCCTAAGCATGGACAGCTTTTTTTTCTTTTTTATCATCAGAGATTCATTTAAAAAGTTCTGAAGTCATAATTTATAAAATGCATGCCAACTGCACAAAAAGCAGCTACTCCACATCTCATATGACTCACAGCATCAGCTCCACCTTGGTCCCCTATTGGACTGAGAAGACCACCCCCTGCGCTTCGTGCCTCTCCGCATGCAGAGGGGCCTCTCGTGGGGCCTTTGCAGGGCTCTTCCTATGTGTTCTAGAGCCCTGGAGACTGCTGCCATTTCTCTGCACTGTAGGACCCCCGTGGTTATCTTTTCTCGTTTCCGTGGTGACTGCTTCTCCCACGTGCACAGGGGAGACAGCTTCGGAGCCCTGCCTTGGCACTTCTGTTTGAGGTTGGAAAAGGAAGCCTAGGCACTAGGTTTTCGAAATAAGGCCAGGCACCTTTGTCCTTGCTGCCGAAAATATGCCCATCACCTGCCACTCACTGCCCGCCCTTTTTTTTTTACTGCCCGCCTTTAATAGCTGGGCCACCACCTCCTCTGGAAAGCCTCACCTGACTACCTCTTTCCTCCGGTGATGCCCATTCTCAGTCCTCCCCTAACACCCTGTGCATGCTGTGTTTTCTGATGGTCCATTTGTGTGTCTCTCCCCACCAGGCTGTGAGCAGCTTTGAGGTGGAGACTACAGCTTCTTCATTTTATATCTCCAGCACCTGCACACAGTAGGTGTTTGGTAAGTACTTGTTCCTTTGTTTTTTTATGAGTATATGGGACACCCAAATGGTGTCTTAAAGCACTGAGGGGGAATGACGAGACATGATGTGAAGGGTAAGGGCACGTGGCATGAGTGAGAGGAAGCAGGAGACACTGGGAACACTGGGGAAGACAGGATCAGATCGTGAAGGGCTGGGCATGCTGCAGAGCCTGGACTCGGATCTCCACATGGAAAACGGCCAGCACCCCTCGAAGGAGGCACCACTGGCAGTACAGGCCACTTGCAAAGTAGGACTGTCATTCAGGCACCACAGGACATTGGGCATCTCAGTCCCCACCCTCCGAGTGCCAGTTAGTGTCCCCAGTCCCTATAGTAACCCAAAATGTCTCTACGTATTTCCAGATATCCCCAGGAGTGCGCTTCTGGTCCCTGCTGAGAACCAATAAGCTAAGTTTCTTTCTTTCTTTTTTTTTTCCAGGCAGGAGGATGACAGCATCAATTTGTATTTTAGAAAAAACCATTCTGATGATCTGGGTGGAGACAGGCTGGAAAAGAAGGCAACTAGAGGCAGGAAGCAAAGCTCAGGAGGTGACCACACCATGCGGGTGAGAAGTAATCAGGTTTTGTTTTGTTTTTTAAAGATTTATTCATTTATTCAAGAGTGACAGAGAGAGAAAGAGGGCAGGGGGGCAGGGACACAGGCAGAGGGAGAAGCAGGCTCCACACAAGGAGCCCGACAAGGATCACACCCTGGGCCGAAGGCAGGTGCCAAACTGCTGAACCACCCAGGGATCCCCGAGGTAATCAGGTCTTGTTTAACGCAAAAGTGGCAGAGATGGCGCAGAGGTGAGGAATTCAAAAAATATTCACAATCACAGGGCTTGCTAATCAAGAAGCTATGGGAGGGTGAGGATAAAATGGAATGTCAGGTAACCCTAGTTTCTAGCTTGCATAACACGGTGGGTGGGACTCAAGAGTCAGCACAGAAGGAAGAACTGGTTGTGCGTGCTAAAATAGACAGTAAGGGAAGGAAGTTTTGTTGCTTGGTTGAAATGCCGTAGAAGTCCTTGGCATAAACACATCAGCTAGAAGCCATGAGAACAGAGGAGGTGGCCCAAGGTATGTGACTGGGGGAATAAGGAGGAGGACAGAGCCTTAAGACACCATGTTAGAAGGGTAAGTAGAGCAGAAGCCATGATAAGAGCATGAGAGGGGCCATGGGGACAGAACCAGTGGATTGGGTCTGGTTCTGCCAAACAGGACTTGCCACGAGCATTCCTGGAATCATGGGTGCGTGCAAAGTCCCACTCTTCAGTGCATACCTACTGCAGCAAGCTCAGTATTGCACAAGGGAGGAATAACCCTGCTGGCAAGAGACAGCCCATAAATGTCTGTAGGAAATGTAAAAGACGGTGACACTGATCAGCTGCATCCCAGCTCTTCCTTTTGAGATATCCGGTGGCAAATCATAGCTTTCCGGTATGACCCTGAAACTCTCACCTTAATGGTATATGGGCTTCCAAGGGTTAGCATATGCTCCTACGCTAGGAACTTGAAAACGCAAGGACAGAACTGCCAAATGAGCGTGGCTGCTGGCTCTACGGGTGGTACACGAGGACCCGGATGCTTTGAACAAACGTACACATTCAATGGTTCTCCTGGAGTCCGTCCCTCTTCCTCTCTACAACGGCATCCTGATTTCTCCTAAGGATCCACCCTGGTCTCAATAAAAGCCTGTGAGCTGGAGGTAGCTCTGCAGCCCACTCTCTAGGGACAGGTCCTGATTAGCTCAAGCCAATGCACATCCCATCTCCTCACCAACCTCACCCCTGCCCACAATAACCAAGGTGGAATGGGAATGTTCTGGAATGGGGACTGTGGCTCAACACAGATCAACAAAAGAGAAGGCAAAGTCTACCTTCCAAGGACTTGGAAAACGAAGATTTCCCACTCTGTTAAGAAAACTACTGGAAGGTAGACTTTCTACTCCTGCCGGACATGCACAAGGAAGCAAGTAGCCCATGGAAGCCATTGGTAGCCAACCCACGACCATGACAGGTGCCCTTTTGGGGATAAAGCAGACCCCGAAGAAGGCAGGAGGGGCAAAAGGGAAGAAAGCGGGGCTCTGGTTACACCACCACAATGCGAGCCCAAGCCTCACCTCACATCCATCTCAGCTTCTGGAACCTTCCGGTTGGTAAGCCAATAAATTATGTCCTTTTGCTAAGTCAATTAAAGATATTCTTTCAGCTTTTTGCCACCAAAGCATTCCAAACAGATGTCTCCATTGTCTTATCAATGACAAATGGCTCACTGAGTCTTTGAAAGCACCTGGAATAAGTTCAGTGTGAGCAGGGCTTTCGGGTCAGCAAGGTCTTAAGCACAAAAGAATGTTCTGGTCAGGCGGGTGTCACGAAAGTAAATGGCAATATTAGGTACAAATCTGCAGGCAACTCTGCTGATGCTGCTTGAGAAAAACCAAAGGGTTGAAGGGTGCAAAGCCTCACAGGGACACAAGTGTCCCGGCCCCGAGTCACATCTGATACTCACGTATCTCCTCTCGGCATCGCTGCCATGCTGGCCCTGGAAGCATGCCGTCAGACGCTTGTGGGAAAGGTGGCACACTGACCGAACCGTGTCCAGGCGCCGCTCGATCTGAGAAAACAGAGACAGACGAGCCATTCGCAGGGCTGAAGAACACACACCCCTCTTTCTACATGGTGCTGCCACAAAGGCAGAAACAGCATCCTGTGCTCTAATTTTTTTTTTTTTTTTAGCTCGGGGGTATACATGGGAATGGTCCCATTCACTTATACCAGGGTTTCTCATTATTGACACTTGGGACCCGGTAATTCTGGGGGTGGGGGGCTCTGCTGTGCATGATGGTATGTTCAGCTTCATCTCTGGCCTCTCCCCACCCCATTCCCTGAGCTGTGACAACCGATGCTGTCACCACGCGTTATTGAACATCCCCCCAGAGGGCGAAATAGCCCCTGGCTGAGAGCCGCTGACCTCCCTTACACCAAGAGATTTAGATCTCTCAAGGGCTAAGTCCATGAGCAGGGAGGCCGCGGAGTCCGGGCTAAACCTGCTATCAGAGAGAGTGGTGGCGGCCGAGCCTGCAGAAGTGCAAAGGAACACCTTAGGCCCAATCCCATCGCCAAGGGGGAAAAAGCCACCGGGACATTCAGAAGCTACCTCCTGCAGACAGCAACACAGCCTTCCTCACACAGGACATCAGCCCATCGGAACATCAAAATCTATGTCCCACGATTTCCACTCAGGGTCAGTGTCTTCAAAATCATGCCTTAGTGGGTTTAGGGTGGGCTTGCAGCTTTGTTTTTTGTGTTGTTTTAAAGAAACCTCCAAGGCTGAACGGACAGCCAGCAGCAAGGAACACTGACTTAGGGGACCCATGCATCGCGATTTAGCTTCTCAAAATATTATTGCTGGGATATGGCTGTTTATGGCAAAGAGAACTGCTTTGCAAGGGAAGGAATGCCAAAAATGTGTATTCTGATGACTCATTAAGATTGAGTGCAGGCCCTTAGGGATGCTTTCTATTTTAAAGAAAAATCAACAAATTCAAAGCAGAATGCATTTTTATCCCTGCAGCGTTGTACCCGATGCCATGGTTCTGTGCTCCTTTCTTGAGAGCCCTGACTGTCCCAACAGCTTCTCTTCGGAGCCTAGGCCCGACCACCGGGACCCTGACCTGACAGCCGTGTTCGTACATAGAAGGAGCAAATGCCACATCACCTCCCCCTAGTCTTCTAAAACGACCAGATTTTTAAAACACTGGAAAACTAAAATACACTCTATTTGCCATGAAAACAGGCTAAACCCAAACCCGAAACAGACAAAAAACAAAAACCCCCAAACTCCATTTCACTCTGATTCTGATTTCTACTAGAAAACTGTAAAGTCCACAGGGACAGGGGTCTTGATCTGTTTTGTTCACTGATTTATCCCAATGGAAAGTGTTCATTTAATATCTGTTGAAGGACAAGCCACCCACAAGCCTGGGTGACTCAGTGGTTGAGCACCTGCCTTCGGCCCAGGGCATGATCCTGGAGTCCAGGATCGAATCCAACATCGGGCTCCCTGCAGGGAGCCTGCTTCTCCCTCTGCCTGTGTCTCTGCCTCTCTCTCTCTCTTTCTCTGTGTCTCGCATGAATAAATAAATAAAATCTTTGGGAAGAAAAGAAGAAAGAAAAGAAAGAAAGAAAGAAAGAAAGAAAGAAAGAAAGAAAGAAAGAAAGAAGAAAGAAAGAAAAGAAAGAAAGAAAAGAAAAGAAAAGAAAAGAAAGAAAAGAAAAGAAAAGAAAAGAAAAGAAAAGAAAAGGCAGGTAGGTGTCAAGTCCCTGTGCAAGGTGTTAGAAAAACAACAGTAAATAGGTTATGGTTCTCGCCCTCCTGGGATTCACAGCCTCCCAGGGAAACTCCACAGAAGCAAAAGGAACTCATGAGTGAAAAACAAGAGGCAAAATAGAAGCCTCTTGAAATGCTCTCACAGAGATCCAAGAGGCAGGAAAACACTGTACAAATTAAGGAAAGTTTCATACCAGAAGCAAACAAACAAACAAAAAATCTCTGTGGTTTGGGATCCCTCCCCAGTACTCTCCTGTTTAACCCATTAATTCCTGCCAATAACCCTATGGGGTAGATACAACCATATTCCCATTTTAGAGAAGTGGAAACTGAGGCTCAGGGAGGTTCAGGAAATCCCTGAGGCCACAGAGCAAGTCAAGGGCAGAGCGGGGTAGGGAGGCATCAGACTGCACACCTTTACCCATTGCTGTCTTTCGTCATAGTCAAAGCGGGAAAAATTCCATCTGTGGCAGTGATGGCAGACACGGAGTAGGTGTCTGGGTCACGAAAAAAGGCGTTCCTAGAAACTGGCAAACTCCTGGGGCCCCAGTGGATGTTTGGGCAGAGGGACAAGCGCAGACAGTCGCCGGCCTGCCTTCCATGGGAACCCTGCCATCCTTGAACCGCCTGCAAGGCCCTCTGGCCTCATCCTGGGGCTTCAAGGGTTCAATGAGATCCTGGATATCCCTGGTGTGGGGGGTAGGAGGGAGAACACAGACATGAAAACCCAGTCCAGTTAAAGGTCAACTAGACCAACTGTTACCTTTGGAAGTCTGAAAATGAAGTTGAGATACATGGTAAAAGTCAATGTGGAAATATTTTTAACAATATCACTGTCGAATAAATCTTAAGGGACACCTGGGTGGCTCAGTGGTTGAGTGTCTGCTTTCAGCTCAGGGCGTGATCCTGGAGTCCCGGGATCAAGTCCTGCATCGGGCTCCCTGCATGGAGCCTGCTTTGCCCTCTGCCTGTGTCTCTGCCCCTCTCTGTGTGTCTCTCATGAATAAATAAATAAACACATCAAAATAAATAAATAGGCTTAAAAAACAACCCAAACCCTTCTAATCCTTAATAAAAACCTCTGGTCCAAAAAAAGAAAAAAAAAAAGCACTCCTACGATATTGTGCCTGCGGATGGCTGTCATAATTGAGAGATGTTCTGACACGGGGTGGTCCCAGCAACATTCTTCTAAACCACGTCAGCTCCTTGTCTCTGTAGGGAGAGACACAGAGGCACCTGGGAGCAGATCTTTGGTCTTCTGGGGCTAAGTGCACACACCTGCTGTGGGTCATGGACACGAGCGGCAAGGACACAAGCGAGGAGGCTAAAGAGAAACCTCCTACAGAAGGGCTTCTGTCCTTCCCAGCGTGCGCTGGGGTGGGTGGGGATCAAGGGGGTTGAGGCTGAGTGAAGAGATGTAGAGAAAGGGTCCCCGGCCTTCTGGAACAAGCTTCCGGCACGCAAGTTAGAGAAGCCTGTTGATCGACGAAGTGCAGTGGCCCTGGCTCAGGTCCCACAGGAAACAGCCATCCCCACAGAGAGGAAGACAAGTCCAGGCTGATGACAGGCCACCTCAGGGCCTCGGAGTGGTTCTGCAAGGTCTGGTCACCGTCACGAAGACTCTAAGTCCCTGGGGACCCAACTCAGCCCAGAACTGGACAGAACAAAAGCGTGACATGGAAGGAGAAGTCGAAACTCTAGGTCGGAGCCAGTGGGGCCCTCTGCCGCAGCTGGCAGGGCCTGTCCCATCAAGGACACCATCCCAGCGGCGAGCGACTGTCCCTTGGCCTGCCCGGGACCCGGGACCTGGCCCCAGCGCCAGGGCATGGCCAGGCTGGCCAGGCCGGCCAGACCCCTCCCCCACCCCACCCCACCCCAACACCTGGCGCTTGAAAGCAGGACGAGCCCCGTCGGAACTTCATAACATGACACCAAGGTTTCAGATCCCCTTTTTATCACCGGGCAACCCAACTGCTTTGCTCTCCTGCTCGGAACCACCACGCTGATCAATTTCCTGCTCTTTCAGATCCTACACAGACATACAGAAACCCACTTCAGTTCTCCCGAAGGAAGTCTGGTTTCTTATCCTCTTTACACAAAGCACTTTAAAAAGATTTTTATTTCGTTACCTGTAACAGATCTTCACTGAGGACTTCTGTTTTCTCGGCTCTGTGGGGGGGAAGGGGGGGAATCAGAAGTTCAGAGTTAGAAATCCAGAAATGCGAAGCAATCCATGAAATTTACTAATGCTCATCCTGGGCAGAAATGAATGATAATGTAGGGGACAATTCCACCAATTTTTACATCAGAGGGCTGCCTAAGCAAAACCAAAATAAAAAACCAAGGTTTGCAGAGAAGAGCAACCCCGAACAAGAAAAAAGGATGGAGACCAATACTGCTGTATTGAAACAAGTGTGTTACAAATCCAGGAACTATTCTCCAATACACACTGCAGATAGTAACAACAACTGAGCATTCCCTCTTTCAGATGTGTCATCTTTACTTTAAAAAGAAACAAAGTATTTTCACGGCTTTCCTCCACCTATGCCTTCTAACTATCATTAACCTTATCATTAACTAGACCTTTCCAGAAAGACGACCTAGTGCCCAACAGTTAGCAGGGGAGCATATGGAGCTGCTGGAGCCTCTCGCCAGATCACAGTACATTCTTAAGACGACTTTCCTCTGTAGTCCAAAAGGACGGCGTCGTTGCTGTACATAAACCCAGAATGACTGCAATCCAGATGGCAGGTTGAGACTTCTGGTTAAATAGTGATTAAGGCCAGGCCACCTAAGTGGCTCAGCAGTTGAGCATCTACCTTTGGCTCAGGTCGTGATCCCGCGGTCCTGGGATTGAGTCCTGCAGCAGGCTCCCCTGCTTCTCCATCTATGTCCCTGTCCCCTCTCTGTGTCTCATGAATAAATAAAATCTTAAAAAAAAAAGTAAATAAATAAAATAAATAAATAAATAAATAAATAAATAAATAAATAAATAGTGATTGAGACCAACTCAATTATCATCCCTACCCAACTCCCACTGAGATGAACAAGGAAACTTTTAAAAGGAAAAGAACAAGTCTGTTTCAGCCCTGAACATTCCAGGAGGTGGGGAAAAGAGTACAGAGCGATACCAACCAGTTGCACGAGGTTGGTGGTGCACACCCCCAGCCCACACTTGGACGATGGCATGTCAGGTGAAAGCAGGCACCACCACAAAGGGTTCCAATACCAGTCGTCACTGCAGCACCCTGGTTAACTGAGATGCTGATGGCAATGGCTTACACACCAGTTTCTACAGGAAACCAGAGCTCTGACCTAACTCAAATACCTCCCAGGGCCACAGGAGCAGAGCCTGGAGATGACTTTCAGAGGCCCAGCTTTCAGAGAAGGCCAACTTTCAACTCTATGAACAAGTTCCGCAAGCAGCAGGCCAAAGGATGCCATCTCAGCCCTTGCTCAGCATACATGGTGCCAGGCATTGCTGACACGCCAAACAGAAGTAGTCACGCCAGTTAGGGAAGTGGAGCAGGGCCTCAGCTGCCTAGGAGCTCAAGCAATCGGCCCCAAAAGGAACTCTGACTGTCAGCCTCACGGGGACATACCTGGCATGAGACCACCACAGCTGCACCGCAATGAGATACCACCTCACACCAGTGAGAATGGGGAAAATTAACAAGGCAGGAAACAACAAATGTTGGAGAGGATGCGGAGAAAAGGGAACCCTCTTACACTGTTGGTGGGAATGTGAACTGGTGCAGCCACTCTGGAAAACTGTGTGGAGGTTACTCAAAGAATTAAAAATAGACCTGCCCTACGACCCAGCAATTGCACTGTTAGGGATTTACCCCGAAGATTCAGATGCAATGAAACGCCGGGGCACCTGCACCCCGATGTTTCTAGCAGCCATGTCCACAATAGCCAAACTGTGGAAGGAGCCTCGGTGCCCATCGAAAGATTAATGGATAAAGAAGATGTGGTTTATGTATACAATGGAATATTACTCAGCCATTAGAAACAACAAATACCCACCATTTGCTTCAACGTGGATGGAACTGGAGGGTATTATGCTGAGTGAAGTAAGTCAATCGGAGAAGGACAAACAGTGTATGTTCTCACTTATTTGGGGAATATGAATAATAGTGAAGGGGAATATAAGGGAAGGGAGAAGAAATGTGTGGGAGATATCAGAAAGGGACACAGAACATAAAGACTTCTAACTCTGGGAAATGAACTAGGGGTGGTGGAAGGGGAGGAGGGCGGGGGGTGGGGGTGAATGGGTGACGGGCACGGAGGGGGACACTTGACGGGATGAGCACTGGGTGTTATTCTGTATGTTGGTAAATTGAACACCAATAAAAATTAATTTATAATAAAAAAAAAATAAAATGTTCAAAGTTCTAAATAAGAGATTCAGAGCAAATTAAGTCCCTTTATGAAATAGGAATATTTTTAAACTATGACAGAAGAAGAGGAAAACCTAATTTAAAAAACCCAGTGTAGGGATCCCTGGGTGGCTCAGCGGTTTAGCATCTGCCTTTGGCCCGGGGCACGATTCTGGAGTCCCGGGATCGAGTCCCATGTCGGGCTCCCAGCATGGAGCCTGCTTCTCCCTCCTCCTGTGTCTCTGCCTCTCTCTCTCTATCATAAACAAATAAATAAATAAATCTTTAAAAAAATAATAAGAAATAAATAAAATCCCAGTGTGGGAGCCCCTGGGTGGCTCAATGGGTTAAGTGTCTGCCTTCAGTTCAGGTCATGATCCTGGGTCCTAGAATTGAGCCTCGCATTGGTCTCCTTGCTCAGTGAGGAGCCTGCTTCTCCCTCTCCCTCTGACCCTCCTTCCCACTTGTGTTCTCTCTCTCTCTGTCTCAAATAAATAAATCTTAAAAACGAAATCAAATCCCAATGTGGGCCATTAGCAAGTATGAGAAAGCAATAGCTCGGTGGTACAGCGGAAACAACTGTGTGCATCTTTTCCCAGCAATCTCACATGAGTAATTTGAAATAAAAAATCAAATACAATACAAACAACTGCAAACAATTAAAATCAGGGCTTCTGGCGGGGGGGCAGGGGGGCAGGTGGGGTGGGTATGAACACAGCACTGCAATAGCCACAAAGAAAATAAAGCAAATGGGGATGCTTGGGTGGCTCAGTGGTCAACTGTCTGCCTTCAGCTCAGGGTGTGATCACGGGGTCCGGGATCAAGTCCCACATCAGGCTCCCTGCAGGAAGCCTGCTTCTCCCTCTGCCAATTCTCTGCCTCTATCATGAATAAATAAATAGAATCTTAAAAAAAAAAAAAAAAGAAAGAAAGAAAGAAAGACATCAAATGTAAAAACAAATTGAATACTAACTTCAGGAAAAACAAAAAGTCCATCAGAAAGAGTCATAGTACACTAGTATGCTTTGCTGCAGATAACTGGTCAGATATACTAATGTAGATATCAAACAGTAATATATCAAAAAATTATAATATAACTTGGAAGGATAAGGGAGCAGAAGCAGAGAAGAAAGTCACATAAGAGCACTAAACCCTCATTTATCAGGATGGGAAGCCAATAAGTAATAACTAAAACTTGGTAACTTGAAGGATAGCAGTTTACCTATTATCTCTAAGTATAGACATGACTAAATGCCAGAATAAACAGAAATTTGAAAACAGAAATTTGAAAATAGTTGCCTCTATGGTTGTGGATTCTCAACTGGGACAATGGGATAACTAGAAAGAGAATCCACTGGGGTAAGTTTTTGCTATTATTTACTTTCTAAACTATGTGTGTGTGTGTATGTGTATATATATATGTGTATATATATATATATACATACAAACATATACATATACATACTTTTAAGTTTTAAAAAATAGTATGTTAGTTACGTTTTTCTGTGACATGCTTGATATGGTTTCAATTGAAGCATAACTTCATGTGAAGCATAACTCCAACTTAAAACAAGGGGTCCAAATGACAATCTGCACAAAAGTGCAACAGAACACATACCTAAGAGTGTCCAAAACACAAAAAAAATCCACCTATTTCCTGTCCTTTTTCAAAATAACAACTCTTTGGGATCCCTGGGTGGCGCAGCGGTTTGGCGCCTGCCTGTGGCTCAGGGCGCGATCCTGGAGACCCGGGATCGAGTCCCACATCGGGCTCCCGGTGCATGGAGCCTGCTTCTCCCTCTGCCTGTGTCTCTGCCTCTCTCTCTCTCTCTCTCTGTGACTATCATAAATAAATTAAAAAAAAAAAAAAGAAAACCTTTAAAAAAAAAAAACAAAATAACAACTCTTTAAATTTAGAGGTCAAAGGTTACAGAAGGGGAGGTGGGCAGGGGGTTGGGGTAACTGTGGACAGGCACTGAGGAGGGCACTTGATGGGATGAGCACTGGGTGTTATGGTATATGTTGGCAAATCGAACTTCAAGAAAAACAAGAAACAACAGCAACAAAATGAAACAATAAATTTAGAGGTACTTTATCTAGAAATCTATCTGGAGATGCAGATAAATACATGGAACTAATGATATGAAAATGTTAACATATTTCTTAAAAATAGGTTTATCCGGGATCCCTGGGTGGCGCAGCGGTTTAGCGCCTGCCTTTGGCCCAGGGCGCGATCCTGGAGACCCGGGATCGAATCCCACATCGGGCTCCCGGTGCATGGAGCCTGCTTCTCCCTCTGCCTGTGTCTCTGCCTCTCTCTCTCTCTCTGTGTGTGACTATCATAAATAAAATTTAAAAAAATAGGCTTATCCTATGTCTCTTGCTTTTTGGACATTCTGTATTACATTGATAAAATTTATTTTAGAGAGACATCCAATGTATCTTTTTTTGTAAAGATTTATGTATTTATATATATTTATTTGAGAGAGAAGGTACCCTTCCATGCAGGGGAAGAAGCAGAGAGAGAAGGACAGAATCTCAAGCAGATTCCACACTGGGTTCAGGGCTCAATCTCATGACCCTGAGATCATGATCTGAGCCCAAATCAAGAGTTGGATGCCTAGCCTCCTGAGCCAGCCTGGCTCCCCCACAATCTATCTTTTTATTTTTTATTTATTTTTGTTTTTAAGATTTTATTTACTTATTCATGAGAACACAGAGAGAGAGGCAGAGACACAGGCAGAGGGAGAAGGAGGCTCCATGCAGGGAGAGCCTGACGTGGGACTCGATCCCGGGTCTCCAGGATCATGCCCTGGGCTGAAGGCAGCGCTAACCACTGAGACACCCGGGCTGCCCCAATCTATCTTTTTAACCAGAGTTTTAAAATCTACTGCAATTATTAGGGGATCCCTGGGTGGCGCAGCGGTTTGGCGCCTGCCTTTGGCCCAGGGCACGATCCTGGAGACCCGGGATCGAGTCCCACGTCGGGTTCCCGGTGCATGGAGCCTGCTTCTCCCTCTGCCTGTGTCTCTGCCTCTCTCTCTCTCTCTCTCACTGTGTGCCTATCATAAATAAATAAAAAAAAAATTTTAAAAAAATCTACTGCAATTATTAAAAATTACCTATTAGCAAGAAAGATTACTTCTCCCCCAGCTTTACTGAACTTTAATTGACAAATAACACTGTATATATTTAAAGTGTATAATGTGCTAATTCAGTTTACATATATTGTAAAATGATTAATCAGGTTAATGAACACATTCATCACCTTTCACCGTTCCCTTTTTTTGTAACAGCAGTTGTAAGAATGCTTAAAATCTACTCTCTTAGCAAATTTCAAGTATATAATACAGGATTATTATACTCCCCAGAGCTTATCCATTTTATAACGGAAGGCTTATACCCTTTGACTATAGCTTTTCACCCTTTAGACCCAGGTGGCCATCATTTTTCTCTGTTTCTATATATTTGACTTTTTCTTTTCTTTTATGATCCCAAATATGAGATCATATAGTATTTGTCT